GGAATGGGAGAGGGCAAGGCCAGGGGAAAGGAAGTGGGTGTTAACAAATCTAGGGACAAGGGAGCAACAAGTGATCCAAAATCGGTGTCAAGGAGGGTGTTGGAGGCCTGGTAGAGCGTGATCAAAGGCAATGTAACTGAGAGGAATTACTGAAACCCAAATGAAGGCTGAGCATGATAGTGGGACAAGAAGAAAGTAAAAGGAAATAGAGCAAAGAACTAGGAGTCAAAGGGCATTTATAGAGGTTTAAATACAGGCATGTACATATGTAAATATATTTATATAGGATGATGGGGAAATAGATCTACATGCATATATTTATAGGTTTTAGTATTAAGGTAGCAGATGGACATTGGGCCTCTCCACTCAAGTATTCCCTCAATGCAAGAGTACTTTGTTCTGTGTAACTGGCGTTCCATGGTGCTCACCTTCCCTACCAGATCGCTGAAGACAAAGCGGGTGCATAAGAAAATGTGGTGAAGAAAGCTGATGGTGCCCAACTATCAAAAGATATAGTGTCTGGGGTCTTAAAGGCTTGAAGGTAAACAAGCGGCTATCTAGCTGAGTAGCAACAAACCCCGCATAGAAGAAGCACACCAGCCTGTGTGATTATGAGGTGTCAATAGGATCAGGTATCAGGCATCAAAGGACAAAAAAATCATATCATTGTGAATGAGGGGGAGTACGGAGTGGGGACCCACTGCCCATCTCTAGGCAACTGGACATCCCCTTACAGAAGGGTCACTGGGAGGAGATAAGCCAGTCAGGGTGCAGTGGAGAAAGAATGAAACATACAACTTTTTCTAGTTCTTTAATGCTTCCTCTCCTCTTCCCTCCACCTCCCCCCAATTATCATGATCCCAATTCTACCTTACAAATTGGGCTAGACCAGGAAGTATACTGGTACAGATAGGAACCGGAAACACAAGAAATCCAGGACAGATGAATCTCTCAGGACTAGTGGTGAGAGTCGCGATACCAGGAGGGTGGAGGGAAGGTGAGGTACAAAGGGAGAACCGATCCCAATCATCTACATATAACCACTTCCCTGGGGGAGAGACAACAGAAAAGTGAGTGAAGGGAGACATCTGACAGTGTAAGACATGACAAAATAATAATAATTATAAATTATCGAGGTTGAGGGGGGTAGGGAGAGTGGGGGAGCGGAGGGGAAAATAAGGAGCTAATACTAAGGGCTCAAGTAGAAAGCAAATGTTTTGAGAATGATGATGTACAAAGGTACTTGACACAATGGATGGATGTATGGATTGTGATAAGAGCTGTATGAGCCCCCAAGAAAATGATTAAAAAAGAAAGAAAAGAAAAAGAAAACAGGATCCCAGTCCTCATTGGTAACTCTTTCAAGTTTTGCCTACTAACTACATTACTCAGTGACTTAAGAATTCTAGCTTCAGTAACTGACATGGGATTCTCTGGACAGAGCTTTTTTCAGTCCAGGCATTGGAAAATGTGAGATGATTATTGTCACAAAATAGAAGAGAGGAGCCCTAGTGTAGGTATCTCATAAGCCATAGACTGCTAACCACAGTCAGCAGTTCAACCCCACCTGCAGCTCTGAGGGAGCAAGATGAGAGTTTCTGTTCCCCAAAATATTTATAGCCTCAGAAGCCCTGTATCGGGTTGCTATGGGTTGTAGCAACTCCATGACAGTGGGTTTATTATTTTCATACCTAAATCGCTTGCTTCTCTGCCCTTACCCTGTATTAAATGGTTGACCCCTTGTCACAGCATTATTTTTTGGAGAATTCCATGATAAAAGACTGTTATTAAAAAATGATATTCGAGGAACCGATTACAAGGGCCTATACAGAACCTCCTCCCTCGGGGATGGACAACAGAAAAGTGGGTAAAGGGAGACATCGGACAATTAAGATATGACAAAATAATAATTTATAAATTATTAAGGGTTTATGAGGGAGGGGGGAAATGAGTTGCTGATACCAAGGGCTCAAGTAGAAAGCAAATGTTCTGAGAATGATAATGGCAACAAATGTACAAATGTGCTTGACACAATGTATGTATGTATGTATTGACACGTATGTATGTATGTATGTATGTATGTATGTATTGTGATAAGAGTTGCATGAGCCCCCAATAAAATGATTTTTAAAAGAAGAGAAAAATCTGTTTTAATTTCCTTTTAAGAAGTCGTATCCAGTGGACTAAATATAAATGATGACTTAAAAATAATAATAATAATCTCCTTTCTCTTCTTAGATCATTGTCATACAGTATTCATTATCATACTTTTGTACATTTTAATGTTAGAGTGCTGTCATCACTGTTTTAAGATTAATTGTACTGGATGTTTTAGGTGTTTATTATCTCAAATAAGCCACCTCTACTTTCTAAATTAATATGAATTTGATCATATTAATTTATGATCAAATTTAATTTGTTTGATATCGATAGCTTTATAAAACAGTAGTTTCTCTCAATTGAAACATTGGTTTAAATTTGTAGCCCTTAGTAAAGACATTTTCATCCTACAGGTGCTACCTGTTCTTTTTTTGTGGTAATTTTATAAATTAGATATTCTGATATTGCTGTTGCTTGGGGATGCTATTTATTTTTACATTATTACAAAAACCACCTCAAGTAACTTTTTTCTTAAAATGGTCTTAGGTTATTTCATGGCAAGATCCTGTTACCTGAAAAGACAGTAATTTTGCTTTCTTTGTGATACAGAAATATTTTATTCTTCTTAACCTAATTGTATCAGCTAGTGCTTCAGAATGATGTTAATAATTATGTCATATTAATAATATGTTATTAGTATAATATGCCAATTTATATTGAATTATATATTTTTAGATTTTAATAATGTTGATTGTGGGATCCGTGGTTGCTTTCAATTTGAAATAACTTTTGACATTTTGAGTTTTAAAATAGTTGTAAGAATGGTTATTTTTCTAAATCAGGCCTACTTGCTAAATATTTGTGCTAAGTTTGTTATATTGATTCCATGTTCCTTGGTATATTTTGTTTTTCATAGGACCACATTGCCTATTAATTCATCTAGTCTCTTTACTTTTGTTCCCTGTGAATCTTTATATTAACATATAAAGGTTCTTTTTTCAAATACAGATTTGATCATGTACTAATATTCTAAAAACTTGTATCATTTATTATACTGCCTTCTCTTCTGTATGCACAATAGAAATTTCACGGACTATTTACTATTCATGTTCCTTTGTGATCACAGAACATATGCCTTTCCAATTCTCACTTCTTTCAAAACTATGAAGAGACTGAGTTCTTACCCTGCTAGCAAGCTAACCTGTTATCCTACTGTAGCCATGGATTTTCTTAGAAGACACTAAATGTCTGAGTCAGTCAAGGACAATTTATTATACAGTAGCACTATCATAATTTTCCTTACTACCATTTCCCAGGCTCCAATTCCAGTGGTGTGACATAATGAGGGACAGGTGACACATGTACATGCAGTTAGTTACTGTATATACTCATGTATAAGTTGAGTTTTTCCAGCACATCTTAAGTGCAGTTTTTGTGGTAAAATCAAGTGCCTCAGCTGATATTCGGATTGGCTTATACTCGAGTATATGTGGTACATTACAGTAGAAGAATCCGAACACACTCTGAAAACCTTGGCCTGCTTGTGTCTTCAGTGTGTCCCTCTTACTTTACCCAGCTTTTTTTTACTTCATGCCCAGCCCTTTGAGGTGCATGTTTTTTTACCATGACTTTTGTATCTACAAATGTGTTGTTCATCAAGCTAGCCCTTCCCCTTCTATGTACTCCCGTCTTTGGACAGTCCAGTGTGACTCTTCCGGATTTGAACAGCGGTTTTGATCTTTTCTGCTCTACACAATTTGTGTAAGTCCTCTTGCCTTTTCTATCATACTTTGCTGTGGTCCATTTCTTAGTGCATACAGAGTGCCTACAGAGACACTATTTCGTTCATCCCTTAGAATCTTCTAGGACACTGCATTCGTTAGGAACAGACAATCCTTCTCAAATGTTTTCATGGGAAGAATTTTTATTTTGTTTATGATTTTTTTCCCACTTGAAAGTGCTAATTGGTGGTATTGATTCCGCTTTTCAACAATATTTCCTGTAAACATCCATTTGAAATTCATTTTTTTCCTTTTCTCTATTTCTATAAATCCAAATTATACCTATCCTTTAAATAACAAACTTTTATTCTTGTGTTCTCATAGGTACTATCAAAGTAGAAAATTATCTGTATCATTATATCACCTGTATAGATGTCTTGTTCTTGAATTGCCTCATGACTCTTGGTGACCCAGTGCACAATGGATCAAACCATTGTAATCTGTAGAGCTGTATACTGGCTGATATTTTCAAATAACCAGGCTTTTCTCTCCTAGTATGGGAGCTTCATTGAATCCTGTTCATTATCATAGCAACTCTCAAGCCTCCATAGTTGAATAGGTAATAACTGTTCTTGAGATGTACTGAATGAGCTCCAGCTTGGGTCTCCTGTATAGAAAGTAAGCATTGTACCAATGAACTTAATTATTCAGGTCTTAATCTACCCTAATGGGCTACAGACTTCATGTCTGTAGCATGTCTTGTGTTGTGCTCCACAGAGTGCTCATGAAGGTAATCATTTTACTTGTTGAATTAATGATGAACACCGAATCAACCCTCTGTTTAAGAAACCCCTGTCATAAAAACCTCACTGCATTGAGGCAATACTGATTTATATCTATCGTAGAATAGCTCTTTTGGGATTTCCGAGACCCTAAAGGACAGGGTAGAATTGCCCTATGGGTTGCCCTATGGCTTCTAATGATTTCTTAGAAATTTTGATGATGACAGTTTCTGAGATTGTAACTCTTTATAGGAATAGAAAACTTCATCTTTCCCCTAAAAGTGGCTGGTGGTCACGACTTTGTGGTTAGCACAACAGTGTGCCACCAGGGCTCATAAGAAACCCTGTTACTGATAAGTAAAGCTAAGAGAAAAGTTTTACTGGCACGAGTATAAATATGGAGGTACAGATTTTAGGCAGATAATTGAGCTTCTGTGACCTTTCTCCTAGTGATTAGAAAATGATTTTGTTTATAGGAATTAATTGTCCAGATTACTTCTAGAAACACCTTTATTGCCTAAGCTATCTTCTAAGGGCTCAAATAATATTCCTTTACTGCTGTAAGTCATATCATCACATACTATCTGAATACTCTTAATTATATGTGGAAATTTTTCTTTATCTCAGGGTTTAGATGAATATGAAGATGATGAAGCAGGGCAAAAAGAAAGGAAGCGAGAAGATGCAATTACACAACAGAATACGATGCAGAATGAAGCTGTAAACTTATTGGATCAAAGCACTTCTTACCTGCTACAAGTGAGTGTTTTAAAATGTCAGCATGGGGAGCACAACAGATCAGCA